TACAAATTACAAAAAAACAAAAAAAAAAAAACAAATCTAGCATTACACACACACTCCATAGACATTTTACGTCAGAAAACAAAAAGCCTGGTGGGACATACAACGCTGAAACAGTCAAGCTAAATGACAAGACACACTTTAAAGAGGTCATAGAATGATTCTATAGGGTATTTGGTGCTGGTCCTCAACGTCTCTGAATACGGTGTGTAACATTGGTTGGGCTGAAAATGGTATATTTGTTCTATGAGCCCTAATGCAAGCCTGGTTAAAAGCCCCAAAATGAAACAACAGGTTGTCTTCCTTTTATGGTATGCTCATGAATATTTAGATGAGCTGTGTGCTGATTAGTTGGTTTACAATGATCAAAGATGCATCATAGCAACAGGCACTCACTCACTGAAATATCACAATTGTTGACATGTTCTGCTTTTCTTACCTAAAAAAAATGTCCGGGGGGAATTTTAAAATCATCCCGGATTTTGGTCGACTATAGTGCGAAACAACGCAGTCGAAAACACACCGGGTACTCAAACCGAGCCGTAAGCTCCGGGGAAACCTAGCGGACAGGGGCAGGGAGACAGCGGGGGATGGAGCGACAGAACCCGACCCGGTGACGGTAGCCTGGACACCGGCGGCCCTGTGCTTCCCCCCACCTGCCTCACCAGCGCCCCCTCCTCCAGCTGAGGATGGGCGGGTCATGGCTCTCTGCTGAGGTCCGGTCCAGTCAGCAGCCCAGCAGTCAACACTAAAGCTGTATGTACATTTCGGGGCGTTACAAAAGTACAGGCCAGAACCAAATAAGGCACCATCCCCTAGTTTACGTCAACTCCGGGCTTCATTTGGATTCGCCTGTTTTATTGTGGAAGTTTGGAATTGTGCAACTTGCATAGAAAGGAGGCGTCGACAGGGTTTGAACTTCTCTGTACGTCCATTTCACTCACTGAACCATTGTTATTCATCTATGACAATGTAAACTTGGTTTTGCATTCTATGACCCCTTTAAGATAAAGGTCCTCATTAAAAACAGCTAATTCTTAAGAACTGAATGGAAGCTGTGATTCTATGGTGGGCAAAATGGAAACATTGCAGAGATCCCAGGCTTTATTTCATTTTGCATATTTTATTATTCGTCAGCAGTGCTTCTAATGAATGGTCCAAGTATGGAGTAGTGAGTCACTGCCTCCACAGTGAAGAAAAAAATGCATGTAGGAAACACAATGCAAGGACAAAAATCTAGACTTCATTTCTTCAGAAAATTGATCAAAACAATCAACATTAAATTTGGAGAGAATGTATATGAAGACATCATATGACAACAAAAAATGGCCATGAAGGAACACATCTTCAACAGGTCCTTCATTTTGTTACAATTTTTGTTTTGCTTTTCCTTCCTTGTTTTAAACATTCATTATTAATAGATATGTAAACTTCATTGTTAAATACTTTTCCTGTTTCCATCATCATGCTGGCGCTTATATCCATTGGAGGAACTTGCAAGACAAACACGTTTATCAAAATACCTGAATATTGTATTGACTGCACCAGGCCATGCCAGGTGACCATGAACATGCCTGTTTTTAGGTTGTTTGGGCCACACTGAAAACTCTGAAAAAATTTTTATCAATAAACACACTATTCTAACAATTACCAGGTTGGTAGGTTGTTAAGGGAAGATGTATAAGCTGGGTTCCTTTATCCCAAAACATAAACCAAAAAAAACAAAAAGCTATAGGTTGAATACATGCTTATTTTACCTTACCTTTATCTGATACATTTTTTTTAAATGATATACCCTGTAAAGTGTCTTAAGATGACATGCTGTGAACTGGCGCCATAAATACACTGAATTGAATTAAATATACAGTCCATTTTGAAAGACAAAAACCACCAAATTTAACGATGCTTGTTAATTACGTAAAAACTAGAACATTCTCCATAATAGAGAGTTAGAGAGTTAGTCAGGAATTATAACTGTACAAATATTTATGCCAGTAGCTCACTCTTGTTGAATACCAGAGTATTTCATACTTTCCTATGGAATTATCTTGCCTGTTGGGTTATTATATTCTATTTATCTATTTTTTTATAGATCGGTAAATGTCTAATAATCTTAAATTTAAAAGAGCTTTTAAATTATGGAGGAGTCAATTTTGGTAACGTTACACATGATTAAAGTGGAAAGAGAGAGTTGAAGTAAGCATCCAAATCAATGCATGTAAGCAAGAAGTTAGCACTTTTCCACGCAGCAGTAGCTGTAAAGTCCTGTTACAATGGACTCTGAACAAGCAAGGTTTCGCTCAAGCAAGCTCACTAAAAACCAAGAAAACCCTTTAGGGTCACATTTACATGCTTCTGGTTATTTTAAAGGCGAATCCAAATAAAAATCGCAATTTTGGTTTGAAAAAAAAAAAACACGATTTTTTTTTTTCTGAAAAAAAAATAAATAAATAAATCGTTCAGCCCTGACAAACTGATTTCTCTGTTTATCTGATTTTTATGAAATTCGCAAAAGTGCAACAATCACTTGCACTTTCATAAAGCTATTTGATATTGAGTTTAAACATCCAAAGTTCTACGTTGCATTTTAATAATAGACAAAAATGATTTAATTGTTCTCTATTAATAAACGGTGGGCTTTGTCCAAATTTGTCCAAGTCTAGCATCAAGTTAAACAACTGTTATATAAACCTTGAATGATGAAAATTACATGCCTAGTGAAATTAAATGCAAGCAAGAAGCTACATGTAAAGTTATACAGGAGTCAAAGAAGCCATGAAATTAACTGCAGGATTTGTGGTTGTTTTGTGTCAAACTGTCAAAGATTTGGCTCTTTATACAAACTAACACAAACCAGAACCCCACTGTGTGATCCAGAGATAGGATCATAGACATAGGATGCAAGCAATGGCGTAACGAAACAACAATAGGCCCGTGAGCAACATTATCTAGTTAGGCCCCATATGAAGTACAATAAAGTACCTCTTTTTGGTATCCATCATCGCCAACACATTGTACGTAACGGTTATTGTTATAATCTATGCTCTGGATTACCCATAATTCCAAGTCGTATTGTAAAAAAATAAAATACTCAAATACATTGTTCTTTTAAGATCTTTATTGCGGTTTGAAACATATGAGTGTGTTTTTTACCAGCCGTCTAATGAACTAAAAAAAGTTATTAACACTAGCGTGGTAAACCAGACTAAATGGGAGATTAAATGTGTAATTTAGTCTGGCCCCGATTAATGAGACTTCGGAAGATTGTTGATGAGAACAACCCGTTGTTTATCAAACCACTGTCTGTGCCTATTGGCCAACGCTCGGACCAATGAGCGCGACTGACTGTGACCTAGTAAGCGCAACAGAAAGCTGGTAGGGGAGTGCAAACAAACAGCCTGTCGGTAAAACGGCGAATACGTCCTTCTCAAAAATGAATGAACGTAGAGCCTCTTCCTGCTCACGTTTCAACAAAAACCCCAAGTCTAACCCTTCCAAAACTGATTCCAAAGCTGAGTCAAAAATCGGCATCAGAAACCTGCTGCTGCCGCAGTGCACGCTACTGTGTCATGCAGCTTTGTCGTCACGCCCTCAAAACCCTGCCCGCTTTGCATCCAGACATTCAAAAAATATCTCTGCGTTGTGATTGGCCCGCCAGATTTAGGGCCTGAGGCATTGATTGAGGCTAGACCCACTCGCAGGCAAAAATGATTATGGCCGCTGGCGTGTGGGACTAGTTTACTAGTCTTTATTAACACAGTAATTAAAAGTACCACTGTCTGCTTTGCTATTGGTGTTGTGTTTAAACGGCTCATCATCATGATGAAATCTGCCATGTGTTGGATATATATAAGGTCCAGTCATCTGCAAAGATATGTCCCAGTTCACAATTGCGTAGGAGGCCAACCAGGTGTCAGTGATGGGGCCCCAAAGAGATCAGGAGCCCCTAAGCAACTTCAGTCTCTGCATACTGATAGTTATGCCATTGGATGCAAGGTACCTCTGTCTGTGGAGGAGCAGATGGTTCTTCTGCTTCAACCCAGCACTTCCTCCCAGTTGGAGCATCTCTCTGACAGATGGGCCCAGGATCCTGGACCAGGCTAATCTCTAGCACTCCTCCACTTAAAGGCACAGTGGAGCTACAGCTCTACCTCCTCAGTCCCCACAGAGCCAGGATCATTAGGACACATCAATAAAGCAAGGCTCTTACAGCTCGAACGATCATGCATTTAAAAAGGTTCCTGAATTATGCTGCAGTTTTGCTTTAAAGGACAGAAGCAGGAGGCTAACTGCTTTCAGTTATCCCACAGTACTAACATTATAGGGAAACAGTACAGCGGAACAAAGGATAAATATCTGGAGAGATGGATTTCCTTAAATTCAAGGATGAAAAATAATTTTGCACACGTGACTTCATCGTTCAATTTCAAACTGAAATTACTGTCACTTGTTTAAAATATATGAATTCGCCAGTATTGCTTTCAAATACAAAATGCCTCCTCCCTTTCTTGCCCCCTCTGCCTGCTTGAATTGCTCTGACAACGTCTGCGCTCCTTGAGAGCCAAAGTTGATATGTAGAAAATTCCTACAACTATAAACGACTTTGGGAATGCCAGGATATATTCCTCTGCTGAGCCAGTTCGAAGTGAAATCGGCTTTTAATCATTCGCCGCGGCCAATCGGCACGTTGTCGACAGTTTTCAAATATATTAACAACCCAGGAGAGGCGACAGTCTGCACGAAGCGAGTTGAGGAAAAGCCCCCCTTAGTGCCGAGACAATATCAAACAGCCGTAGCTTATCTTGGAATTTTAATGTTGAAATTTGGCAGATAAAAAGAACAGCAGAGGGCTACTTTGCCATGAAAGAAGTGCAGAAAATACACCCAACGTCGTCTGCCTCACACAGACGGCTGGAAATGACGCACACGGACGGACACGACCGATATACTGAGTTGGCAGCAGAGAAATTATTCACAATTTGATAAATGTCTAAGTTACTTACGCTTTCAGTGGATTCTGAATGACAGCCGCCATTTTGCTACAATAATGTAACGCAATATCGGCGTCTTGCAGTTCTGAGGGAAATCTAGGGAAACTGACCAATCGGAACGCGAGGCGAATTCGTGGACCAATCCCTGGCAGGCGTGAGCAGATGGGGCGTGGCTTAAAAGGGGTAAACTGTCAAAATTATTTTAAAGGGTTTTCCCTTGTATTTATGTTGTACACAACTGAATTTCAGGACATTTAAAGAGACCATCACTGTATACCAAATGCTGACTATGGATTTTTTGGTGTGGCAAAATAGCACAATGTAAATAGCAATAGATGTTTATACTCAAAATTGTTTTATTATGTACTAAAATAGGTATAAATCATTTATAATTACCAAATTTTTTCCCCTCTACTGATTATCTGTGGCTGTGGTGTTTAAGAGGAATGAAGTGCACACAATCTCTTCCTCCCACATACAGTATGTGGAGAGATATAGAACACACACACGCAGACACACAAGCACTAAAAAACATGGAGGCAGCTCCAGATTATGTTTTGACAGGCGGTTGCTGACACAGCTTTAATCCTTTGCAACTCCATCACTTTAAGTTAGACAAACACTTTAAAGTTAATCAGTCATTCACACTTGTTTTTGTGTTGATAGGCGATAAATCAAAACATAATGATATGAGCATAAAGGTCTAAAACATTACTCAGTTTTGTGCATTATAGGTAGAGCAGAAGAGCGTTTGATTTAACTTTAGGGGAAATACATGTATTTGAGACCAGGCCCAGAACTTTAGAGATTAAAACAAGATATTTAACTTTATCCACAAAGACTTGCATTTCCTCACTGTGTGTTGCAGGACATCACCGTTAGTAGACTGGTTACTCAATAAAACTACTTAATGTGAGGCTAGGTGTTGTAATGGCAACATTTTCATATGACTCTGTCTTTCTTAGCCTGAAAAAGTAAAATAAATACAATAAAGAATGGGTAACATGATTTCCAACACAATAAATATACATATACAGTGATGCTAAAACAAACAAAAATACCTTTAGGGAAAAAAAAATTACATATGCGAGAAGTTTGAAGCTCCAATAGTCATTATAATAGTGTCTTGTAAAAGTATTGGCACCCCTTGAATATTTCCCTACTGTGATATAAGGTATTATCTAAGTCTTTAAACAAACACTTCAAAGGGTGCTATAAAATCCATAATTTAGGGATCAAACAGTGTAGTACAATTAAAAATACCATTTAAGAGTGAATTATTCAGACAAGGAGGCCAATGAGTATAACAGCTCAAAATTTGCCATGAAAATATAGGCTGCACAAAAAAAAAATATGTAAATGTTCAGATGAGATGCAAATAAAATTTTTGAGCTTAGGCTATGTTGAGGAAAAACTGACAACACACCCTGAACTTCCAGCAGCTTTCTACTCTGCAGCTCCTCTTATGAACATGTAACAGGGCAGCGGGTCGTAGTTGATCGGGAAATGATGAAGATGAGTACAGGGCATACCCGGGAGAAACCCTCTAATGGCCTACAAAAGACTTGAACATAGTTTACCATTCTAGAACAATAAAAAAAAACACACATCATGCATTACAAAAATACAAGGAGTTGTTAATGTCGATGTGTATTCATTTTTTCGTCAATTTGTAGAATTAAGTGTTCTTTCAGATGAGCATACCCAGTCAGACCAGCATACCAATAGTCAATACCCCTTATCCTTTAGTTTTTTAAAGAAAAATAAACCTTAAACTACCTCAACGGGCGTGTATCCCTTTAGTCTTGTACAAAACGACCACAGACTTTTTGAAGTCTATGATGATCTGACCTTTTTTTTTTTTTTGTACATGACTAAAGGGACACACTCCCGTCAAGTTAGTTTAAAGTCTGTTTTTCGTACAAAACTAAAGAGATAAACACAAATCTGACATCTTACCAATGCGTATTAACTATGGGTATGCTGATCTGATACAACACAGGAAGTCTGGAATATAAATGCCCACCAATGCTATTGATCCAATTTAAATTTGAAATAATTTATCAAAGAGTAGGTAACTTATTCAATTTCTAGAAGTATGGTACTCAGTTGCTACCTCAATGGCAGCTCTATCGGAGTCAAACAGTGACATAGCATTAACTCTGAAGACATTAGTGCTTTCTTTTCAGCTATACTTAAAAACGATTTGTTACTTTGTGTTGGTCTATCATGAGGAATCCCAGTAGAAACGGATGTGACAGTATGTTATGAAATGTTTTAAAAACATTAAGGGGTTTTAAATACTTTTTCAAGGCACTGTACTATTGTTCAGTTCTGAACAATGAACAAATATTATGGATGTTGTTAAAATCTGGCATGTCATTATCTATTAACCTGAGCAAGAAGTAAATATATTGAAATGCAAGCAAAAATAAAATGTTAATATAAGATCCAAACATATTCTAACATCTACACTCTAAAATGCCACCTGGTTAGAGAGATGATGAGGTTTATTCAGGGATATACGGTATATCCCATTTCTGAACAAGTCAAAAGGCCATAGATCTCTCAGACTAAAATGCCAGAAAATGTGCTTACAAGCTTTTTTTTTTTTTTCTTTACATGATGAACACTAGAATATTTTCAACAAGTATAATCAACACCTTTGTGAGTCCATACAACCACAAATAGCATGACATAAGGTAAACATTGAAGTTGCACCTACACAATGACCTGAATACATTTTGGCACACCAGATATCCAATATCTGACCCTACTGCTGCAGAATTCAGCCCAGCTTGGGTCAGTGTTCTTCCTCTGCTGGATACCTAAAGGTTGCCATGTTAAGCAACAGCCTATAACAGCTGCAAAAAAGACTTAGTGCAAAAACTAAAATCCTGCAATGCATGCATGCAACAAAACCCGCAGTTATGCCTTCCAAAATACAAGATATCACACTTTTACACGCTCAACATCAGCAACGAGCAACCCAGATACACATTGCTGGAGTTATACTCACAGCAATCAACCATCCTCTTATTCTATCAGTCCTTCCAATGATGCATTTTGTTTATACCCTCTAATAATAGAAAAATACCTTGACGGCTTTATTTAACAGAAATGTTGTGGATTTTTGCTCATTATGATTGAAATATGAAGCTCAAATTCAGTTGTGACATTCAGTCAGTTAACCCCAGATTCTGTGTGTTCTAGAAAGACCACAGGAACTCTAAATTCAACTTTTCTAAAATATTAAAGTATTCCCTAAGCTTTCCTTTTCATAGAGCAGGTGTACACCTAGACAGTGACAGACTGCCATCTGGGCGAACGCTTCTCTCCCGGTGCTCAGGGGACGGAAAGGCAACCACATCAAAGTTCTCCAAGTTTTTGGTTGCAGCCGTCACACACGCGAACAGGGTGGTCCCAGCCCCGGGAAGGGACTGCTCGTCGCTGTGGGGAGCATTCGTCGCACACTCCTTGGCCACAGGCACGGCAGTGGTGCTTGGAGAGCTTGGCAGTGAACTCACGCTGGCAGTTGTTGCACGACAGGATGTCCTGGTCAGGCACCCAGTAGGCTGGGCGAGCTGCGTCTTTTACCAGGCCTGCAGAAACATTTGGAACAAAAGATACCTGTGATAAAATACTAACAAGTCTTCAACATTACATTAGAAAGAGTAAAATCATGGCCAATTTCGCTTGGAAAAGAGACCAAGATCGAGACGGAATTTAGTCTGTCTGGTGACATAATATAGAGGGTTAAAGTGGACAGAGAAATAGCCACTAACTCTTTCTCATTTTATTTAGAAATATTTCCGACCAAACAGTTGGATTTGCTCAACCAGTAAACACAATTCAAGATGTCATTTGTTATTTCTGAAATTTCCAGTAAAAATATCAAGCTCAGACTCAACTGAGATAAAAGGTTGTTTTGTTCTTGCTCACTGTACAGCAGCAAATCAGATTTCAGATTCTCTACAGGCTCCGCCCTCATCCCACCCACTCAGAGTGATGGTTTAAGGTGTCAATATTTAAATTTTATTTTAAATATAATGATGACAACATTAAATGAATGAATAGTGAAATACATGCAATTTAAATACATTTATTTGAAAAGATGAAAGTTCTTTTTCATTATTTAAAATGTGTACTGAAACATTTAAGCGAACATTTAGTTATCAAACAGGACATTATGCCTCAATTCCTTGGTATAGCAATTTAATTTGTTTTTCTGTGACCCTCCACAACAGAAAGTATTAGAGCTGAAATAGTAGTTATAGTGTATTAGAGAAGAGTACATTCTTCACAAACGTTGATTACATACTGTAACCCTATCAAAGCCTACTGTATATGACATAGAACTATTATACATTTTGTCATATTATAACCATCCATCCATCCATTTTCTTTCCACGCTTAATCCCAAGTGGGGTCGCGAGGGGTGCTGGTGCCTATTTCTGGTGGGCGAGAGGCAGGGTCCACCCTGGACAGGTCGCCAGTCCATCGCAGGGCGACACAGGGACAAACAACCAATCATGTAAACACTCACACCTATGGACAATTTAGAGAAGCCAATTAACCTAACAGTCATGGTTTTGGACTGTGTTAGGAAGCTGGAGTACCCGGAGAGAACCCAAGCGTGCTCACGGAGAACATGCAAACTCCATGCAGGCTGGGAATCGAACCCAGAAATTTCTTGCTGAGCAGCCCCATATTATAACCAGAAAAGTCTATTTATTTCATTGGGTTTAATGTGATAAACCAACACAAAAAAAGTGCATAAATCCACTGATTCTCAATTGGACTTAGACAGAGCTAGGGCTGAAACAATTGATAGGATTAATCATGATCATTGTAATAATACTTAACTAATGTATAACTAATTTAACTAATTTTAATCGTTAACTTAAGTATATAGACTGTAAAGCATGCCTTTAGACAACAGAGCAACAATTTTAGTAAAAAAAAAGTCTATATATATTTTACCTTTAAGATAAACAAAATATTTTCCTCTGTCAGTATGCTCTATCCATAACTCCTCATGTGAAAATGTTTTAGTTTCACTGGTTTAATTATTTTTTTTTTTTTAAAAGGCTTCTTTAAGGAACCCTTGGCTATCTGATTATTAATCGAATAAAAGAAAAAAAACAAAAATCAACAGATTAATCGGTTTGCAAAATAATTGTTTGTTCCAGTCATAGACAGAGCCATTCTAACACACGTAGTTTGCTCTAAACAAATGTTTCACCTCTGTTGTAACAAATCAAGGTTTCAAGAACTGACTAAAACTGTGAAGCATCAAATTAACAGTTTCTCTATTTGCTCACTGGAAGTCATGAACTCTGAGCTGAAATATCCCAACATATCCTTAAATGTATGCAATACTTTCTTTAATTTAGATGTACAAGCTATAAATAACCTGAACTGATTTTTGCTGAGTCTAAATACAGTCACTAGAAAATGGCTCATGATGCATAAGCAGTGTTCTGGTAGAACAATTGAGCAGATTTTCTTTTTTTTAATCATTAATGCTTGGTCTGGACATTAACTATTGAGTTAAATCAAACCTTTAGTAGATAAGATGAAAATAAGAAAACGTGTGTAAGTAGACTGTCTAACGTTGTTGTGATTGGAGCAGACCTTGCTCTGAGGTATTTTAGGCTTAGTCATTGATATACAGACGTTTTCAGCAGGATATCAGGTTATCAAAAACAGATTTATCTGAGCCCCTCAGTTGTATATTTAGGCCAACACTGGGCTAGCAAGCAATAATCTAATTAACATATGAAAGAGGATATATAGTGTTTAATAAATAAATAAGATCAGGGAATGTTTTTCTGATGTAATCTCTGTTTCTGACACAAACTGGTCTGTGGAATCTGACATTATTCGGGTCGTTGAACATCAATTAAACAATATTAACATATTATCACTCTGTTGAAAGCTGAAAATAGATCACTGATGTCTAACTTGCTGGTTTGTCATTCACAGCAGGAAGTCTGACAGAATGAATGAAGAACAACTCAACTTTGTGGCATTTCACTTGTAAAATTAGCATGGTTTTAGATTCACTTTATCACAAAAATAAACATGTCTAAAGGCAGATTGGCATCAGAGTGTGAAGTGCTTTTTTAGGAAGGTACTTTCCTCAGAACTGACTTCGAGTGGGAGTCCAGAGCACTGATTATTTCCAAGAAATCAATCCTTTGTTGTTGTTTGTTTCAGCCTTACAACCTCTGGTCCTCAATAAACCATTAAGTCTTTGAACTTTCAGTTATATATCATGAAAAACTGTTGACTTTTTTAAAGGTTTCAACCCAGTATTTAGGATAACCCTAAAGACAGTAATTCACATTTACAGCAGTTGATTGAAAAAAAACGTAACTGTTTAAGAGTTTAAATAATACTCAGTTTCCCTTTGAGATTGATAAGGTATTTAATTTTTCTAAATAAAGTGTGATAATTCTGACCCTCAGTCTTCACCATACTGTAAGCTGTTTGCAGTTTGGGCCGCATGGGGGCAGAGTCTGTAGCCCTGGTGCTTTGCTGCAAAAAAGGTCCTGGTTTTTAATCCCAATCCTGGGTCTTTCTGCAGGAGTCTGCATGTTCTCCTTGTGAATGTTTGGTTCTCTCTCAGTTTTTTGCTTCCTTCTTCAGTCCAAAAACAGGACTGTTTCAATCAGTTGATTGATGTTTGTACGTGTGTTTCTGTGTTGCCCTGTGATGGCAACCCCTCCATGATGCACTGCTGCCCATTGCTTTAAGACAGACCTCTACTTTGACTTCAGCTTCACCTGCTTATAGACTATAAATATAAAAAGAAAAATGCCACAAAAATAACCAAAAACAATAAAAAAAAAGAATATCTATGTAAACATGTATGTATGTACATTAACACATGGTATTTCTTCAATTTGAATAATCTCTAACCTTAAGATATATTTTCTTCTTTAACAGATTCAGCATATTTCAGCTACAATTGATGTTGGTTTAAATACATCTCATTAAAAACATCAAATTCCCATTTAGGAAACAAGCTTTACAGTTAAGTCAGGGGAGTGGCGGCTTAGTGGTTAGGGCATAGGGCTCCTGAGATTGGGAGTTTGATCCCCCACTCCCCCAGACTGCCACTCTGGGTCCCTTAGCAAGACCCTTAACCCCACACTGCTCCCCAGGCTGTGCACAATGGCAGCCCACTGCTCCCAAAGGGGATGGGTTAAATGCAGAGATAAATTTCTCCAATGTGAGATCAATAATGTTCAATTTATTTATTTATTTATTAAAATAATTTCTTGCTACATTTCAACAAGTTGACATTGTTTAATATAGAGTTGGCAATAAAGTTAAGCTGTAAGGCACCTAATATTTATTATTAATTTCAGTTTTACTTTACAACCAGATCTATGCAAAACAGATCTACAAAACTTGATAAACACACAAAATGAACTATGTGACTCCGCCACAAGAGGGCGCTATAATGCCTATTTTATATCTTGCATGCCTGCGCAACCTTATCTGATTTTGAGCAATACATACCAAGTGGGATGTCAATGGCAGTAGCCACGACTCCTATGGTGTTGGTGACAGCTTCTCCAACCTTTCTGGCCAGAGTCCCGCCTTCTTCTTCCTCAAGCTCTGACGCAAGTATTTCTGAACAAAGAAGAAAAACCAGAATAAAGCTGTGCTCACATAAAGATTAAATACCAGCATAAACAAGAAGACAAATGACATTTGGAAACACTGTGCGTGTACCTGCATATGAAGCTCTCTGCTCAAAGCAGACGTCACACACCCTGACAGGGGCAAGACCCCAGCCTCTCTCAGGGACGGGCGCAGCTTTGGACGAACAGCCGTCACAGAACCCCTCCCCGCAGGCACGGCAGTGATGCTTGGTGTCATTATCCTGGAAGACCGTGTGACACTTGTGGCACATCTTGTACGAAAGAAAGAAAGAAAACACGTGTCGTTATTGATCAAGAGCAACCAGGAGGAGGGTGCAACCTGCAGTCTACGCAAGTTTCATTTTATGACAGGCATGCATAAGCTGTGCAACAAGAGCACAGCACTGCAGAGAGTAAACATCCCTCTGGACATGAAAGTGTTGACTTGGCTGCTGGTAGCGGGTGGCAGAGGGTGAGTCTGTGTGTCACTCACCATGATGAGGGAGTTGGGTTTCCAGTAGGCTGGAGCGATCTGATCTGTCAGCCAAGAGGTGACGGCCTTAGCAGGTTTCACGCTGAGCTCTGATACCGACTGGGCCACTAGATTGACGCCATCGAGAAGCCGCTGTGCAGCATTGTTGTTGTCCTTTAAAAAGCCGTCAGACTGCAAAAAAAAAAAAAAAAAAAACAGGAGATCAATTTTAAATATCACAATATCTAAAGGTCTATGAAATAATAAAAGAAGTCAGTTGGATTTTTTAAAATGAGGGTCTGTAAAATTATGAGTGATATTTCTATTCATTTAGCTCATTATAGCTATCTAAAAATTTTCACATTTAACATTATACAAGAACATCTCACAAGGGATCATTGCTAATACTCCAATCATACTCCTCATTTGATTGCATAGCCAGAGATTGGCTATATATGCTGTCTTTGATAAATAAAACTAAAAGCATCACCTTCCTACATGTTTGAAAAATCTACCATTATATTAAACGATTATCAGCTAAATACCAATATGGTCACTGGGGGACGACCATGACTTAACAGCTAAAGCAGCATCACTGAACACTTCATCCAAATACATATTATATAAACTAGATGCAAATCAAGGCAGATCTGTGTATTTCAAAGACTAACAGGAGAGACCTTTAAACTGTTTTTGTACTACTATAAAAAGTTATGTTTATTCTGGTTTCTGGCTGCTAAGCTATGGCTCATCAATCCGCTCATCATCCGGCGTGTGGGGAGCAAAAGTAAGGATTTTTTAACAGTTGTGCAAAGACATTGGACACAAAAGATCCCTGTATTTTCCAGGTCATTTTCATCTAAAATTATCACGGCATATCAGCTGATCTATCAGTTTTTATATGCAACATATACCTCGATAATCGAATAAAACAGTAACAAAAATAATACCTTTCTTGTGAAGGAATGCACTAGGGCCTTTTAACCTAAGGCTCTTAAAGCTCTAGAAAATTATTTAAATTGAGATTTTCCCAGAATTAGAAAAAAATTATCAGTATGTTTTAGGGCTGGAACTAAAGATTATTTTGCAATTCAATTAATCTGTTGATTATTTTTTTTCTATGAATCGATTATAATCGGATAGCCAACAGTTCCTTAAAGGTACCTTTTGCTAAATTAAACCAGGTGAGATTAAAGCATTTCCACTTGAGGCGTTGTGGATTGAGCATATTGACATATGAATCTTTTCTTTACCTTAAATTCAAAATGTTTACATTTTATTTTACAATTTGGGTATCATTACTGCTCAAGGAAGGTCACTCTGTCAGCTAAAGACAAGCTTTAGATTCTCTACACTCCAGTTAAGGATTAATTGATTACTATATTAGTTGAAGATTAGTTCAATAGTCGATTAATGATGATTAATCCAATTAATTGTTTCAGCCCTAGCATTTTGACATGATGAAGTAACAAACACACTAATTTTAGTAATTTTTTTCCAGTATCTTAATTCAAATATTTAAAAAACAATAACAAAACCGATCCAAGAAAAAAAATGCTTTTTTTTTTCATTAAGCACAAAGGTACGTATCAGTTTCTTAATTTTCTGTCAACATGTAACATTCAAATAAAAAAAAATCTATTGTTTAATGTTTTGTAAAAAGTCTGATATTGTTTAAATCTTCTTAAACCTATTACCAGAAGAAATAATGTTTCTTTTACTTGTATGTAATATAGAACATATTTCATACAGAGCAATTCTCCTCAGAATTTAGCCTTTCACAGCGCTGAACATTTCTCCATTTTTCTGAAACTCAAAATGAATTAACATCTTTCTACTGAATAGAAGAGAATTATCACTCATAATAACGTCACCTCATTAAATGTTTTCACTTAAAAGCATTTATTTACCCCTGGCCAAACATGTTGGATCTCAGTGCGAACGACTGTATCCACAGGGTCCTGGTTGCCATACCAGTACTGGCGGCTTCGGTAGATCACTCCACAGTTTGGACATTCAATAACATACCTAAACATGTAGAAGAAGTAAAAAAAAAAGAACATTCACTACTTAACAATTGAATGTGCTTACAAAACAGGTTGTTTGCTGGAGGGTTTATTTAACAGGCACCTGTGCAGCCAGCGTCAAGATTTACAAAGTACCCGCAGCAAGCTGTGCAAAAGTTTAAAAACAGTTTGATCTCCAAAAAAAAATTTAAAAAGTTTACAATGACGATTTTGGGTTCTTGATTCCACAGAAGTTCATTTGTTCAGTCTTCTCTGGCGAAATGTAGGCTACCATAAAATGTGAAGCACTAACCCTGCAGCTGGAGCAGCTGTCTGAAAGAAGGCTGCTACAAGAGAGAAAGAATTGTGATTCTTGGAAAGATTTCCAGTTGCGGAAAAACCAAGACATCCACCTATCATTTATTCAGGTCTGCGCGGCAGAGTGACGTTGTTTTGGCTTCCATGTCCCTCAGTGCATCGTCCGGGCGGACAAAATTTCCGCACTGCGCACCTAAGAAAATTTGAAACGACGCGCACAGCTGTGTGGAAAAATATGGTGGACGAGCGACAACTCTCAGGGTTAACAAATATAAACATCTAGAGACATCTTGGGATTTAGCCCAAAAATATCACAATCACCAGACTGTGAATAAAACTACTGTCACTCTTGGATGACACCAGAATGCAGAAACCCTCTGAGATTTCTACTCCATTGTTTAGCGTGATGTTGTAGGCTTGTGTTTTGTGTTTTACACGCCTCCCCAGAGCTAGCCATAATATTACCGTAGCTACAAGCTGTATTGAGTAAAAAAGCTGCAGACTGCACACCTGTTCGCCACAGAGCGTTCGTGCCTAGAACATAAACCAAGCGTTACAGTTTAAAAAGCAGGACAGCAAAAAGCTGCAACAACTTTTACAAGAGGCACCTTAAATTAACTATAACAATGATGTTTATTGGTTAGAATTGATTTCCTCACTATGTCTATGTAGATCTTATGAGTAGATCTTTCCTTTAATACTTGGAAATCAAATGCAGGTACAAATTAATGCTGGACTGTATTTAAACGAAACAGCTAAACATAAAGAGGCAAAAATGTGAACTTAGTTTAGGTATCAAAAAGACCTATAAATAAAATTAACAGATTAACACCATTATTTTACCAAAGTATGGAAGCAGTAGGAAAAACCATACTTGTTTGTTTTTTATTAAATCCAGTAGATCAAGTCCAACCAATGAATAATGCTTTAGGTTATCACACGTTTAAGATCTAACGATGACCTATGTCTGGAATAATGACTAAAAGCATTGAGATACAGAAAGCGTTTCCATCTACAGGTCAGATTTATTGCTACTCACCCAGACCAGGCGTATCTAGCCAGGCCCATCCATGGGGAGTCTGAGGAAGCTGACGTCTTCGGGACAACTATCATTTCCTTCCCTCCTTCATAACAAGCCTAAGACAACAATTTTTTATTTATTTTTTTTTAGATACATCTAATTAATAAATCAAAAACTATATTTCTGTGTTGTGTTAAAAAAGGGAATAATAAAGCAGGGTGGAGCCACTATGCTTACCTTACACGTATAAATGCGATTATCATACTGAGCAGAGTAACGGCAGCGTTGCTTCGCCTCATGGTACGACCCTTCATGCAAGTGGTTCATACTATTTTTGCATCCGGATCTGAAATAAATTAGATTTTATTCATTAACTTTAAATTTAATGTTTTGGGGAAGGCATTTTTGAAATTTTTTTAGAAGGTAGAAATGACTGACCCACAACTGAGGCAAAAGCTGGAACAGGTGAAGTACTCATCAGGGAAGAAGCAGCTTTGTGTTGCAACCTCACCTGCGATTTCTCCATTAAAGCGTTCACTCAGTGCCTGTATGCACAGTGAGGAAAAACAAAATCTCTTACAGATACACTACAAGGATCAGCTTAGTCTACTGAAGCAACTAGAGAGATGAAAGAAGAGTGATGAAAGAGTCAGCTGACATGCTGCTCTACCTGCAGGGCTTTGAAGATGACGCCTGGGGCACGAGGCGAGCGGGTGGCATTGTTATCCAGGAGCTGATCCAGTTTATTCTGCAAGCCCCGAAAATCGGTGGGAGGACTGAGAGTCTGTGTGCCCCAATATTGGACGGAGCTGAAGGCTTCCGGAAAACGGGAAAGCTTCCTAAAGCGCTCCAACAGCAGCCGATCCACAGAGTCCGACGATTTATCTACAATAAAACAAAGATGGTATAAAACAATCATCAAAGTGAATAAGCAGTATTTACATTATTTCACTCATTGTGAATCAACATTTTTTATTTCTTTCCTAATGCAGTTTTCCCTATAGAAGACATTTATGTTTGTTTTTTTTTGCACTAAAATCTAGATTTTAAAGCAATGTAAACACTCCAACATGTTTTGAAACAAGGTTGTAAAATAAATATAATCAACAAAAGAAAAATAACCATAACCTGGTAATAATCAGTTACTACAATGCTGCTTTAATCAATCCATTTGCTATAACTTCAAATGGGTTATGTGGTCAGAGAGTTTTTATTGACACTTTTAAAGTCCTGTTCTTTCAACATAAAGTAATTGGTAAGTCCTCAAAATGTAAAATTAAAGCTCCTGTACATGGTCCAAAAAACCAAAATATTAACTAGGAATCAATAACATCTAAACCTGAGATTTATATGGCTTGATAATTTAGTAAAAATACTTTGAGTAAATAGACAGAAAGACATATTACAGACTCGTAGTATATAGAAAAAAAACTGTATAAATATGAGGATGTCTCACCTGAACCCAGGAGCTTGGTGTGGACAGTTTCATGGAAGATGACCACAGCAGGGCCCAGGGTGGACAGCGGGACATCCAGGCCACAGCGAGCCGTTGTGGCTTTTAGCTCCTTAGTGAAATGCCTCAGATAAGCATCAGAGGCATCGCCGAGGAACTTGAAAAGGTCGTCGTGGAGGCGGTCGGCATGAGTGCGGTAAATGATGAGGTCTGAAATGGCGAGCACCTTGAGAAGTAAACGAGTTCTTTGACCCTGTTTGGAGCTGTTACCAAGCAGCCCCTCTGTATCGATGACCACAATCTTATGGATGGGGTCAAATGCTGCCCATACACCCACTGTGCAGGACTCCTGAGTGGGGGAGGTTTTGAAGACTTCTCTGCCCATGAAGAAGGTGTGGTTCAGAGTGTGGGATTTGCCCTCCCCTGTGTTACCAAAGATGGAGACCACCTTCAGCAGTAGATTGGGGCTGCAGCCAAGAGCCCTTATGAATGAGGCTTCATCTTTTATCTTGAGGGGAACAAACAAAGAACATGGAGTATTAGCAAATCTAGGCCTGACAGAAAAGGGGCCGAATAAACACAAGTAGGGATTTACTTCCTTACAAAAAAAACCTAACTGTCGAATAAATAAATCAACATGTGCATTAGCTTGCTACTGCTTCATAGCCTGTTAAGGTAAGCTGACGGGGAGATGTTTCTGCATACAGGGTAAAAACGGAGGATTTTTTTTTTTATGGTTTGGCATCAAGATGCTCACCAGAGAGGGAATTTATCTCCAAGACACAAACTTTTAAATACAGGAAGTAGTGGGATTGAACTACAGAGGACCAAGGAACAATGGAACAATTCATTGGATTTATCAGTTATTGAAAAATTCATCTAATTTAGTTGCTTAATCATCAACTTGAGTATAGAGACTCTAAAACATGCCTTTAGNACAATCCCATCCAAAAACACTCAAAAGGTAATAGTTCAAATAAGATTGTTGTTTTACACACCTATTGGAAATATTTTATTTTAGATGAGTTATGTCGTCATATAAATAACATTTATTGTTGTTGTTGTTGGTATTATTATCTCATCTGAATAAATTCTACAAAGGCTAAATATCACAAAATATTAAAATTAGACATCATTCTACAATCATGTCGATCTTCCTGTTACTGAATACAATTTCATTCATGAGGAACTTTCATACGTTCAAACTGAGTGATAGAAAAGCCAACCTAAACCTGGCTTTGCCCTGCTGTTTTGAATTTCCTTTAACAGTAATATTTTCTGTCTTCCACAGCCAGACAGTCAATACTTTCTCCTTACTAGACTTTACACTAGGACAGAACTTAGTGGAGAATGCTACGGTATATAACCCTTTTCCCTAAGATTTAACAAAACCAAAAAATAAAATTTTAACTTAATATATTAAAGGTAAAAATAATAGGCTCACTTTTCAGGTTTCAGTCTTTTACAACAAACTCTCCAAACTGCTAAACCTCTTCTACCAGAGGCATGGTTTCTCAATTTCTTTAAAGTACACAGGACAACTTAAAGTTCAAGCAACTGACCGTTGCCATAGCAAACCAGCCAAAGTTAAAGAGAAGACGTTCCCTGTAACACCTTATTGTATTCCAACAAACACTCTATCTTCAAATAATTGATCTGGAAAATGACGAATCTGTTAGGATTTCAGTTTGTGTGGGTTGTTTTTGTGTTTTCCTCTCTCCACCACCAGGTGGTTCCCTGTCCTCGTTGGGCCTCCCTGCACACCAGGGTCATCACCGGAGGAGTACTTGAGCAGCGGGCTGTCACCACCTTGACGCCAGAGTCTTTCCCAGTTTTGGGTACCCTAGCCAAGCTGAGATTAGCAGAGGCTAAACCTTAGTATTGTTTCTCTGAGTCTGAACTTGTTTTTTGTCTCTGCTCTTCTGTGTAACTGCATAGCCTGGACCTTCTCCCCCTGGAAGGATTTACTGAGTTCACACTAAGCAGGGGAAAATCTCCGCACGATCCGTCCAAGTCCTCATCTGGAAAACCAAGTGATAGCCCGCTCCATTGCTCCTCTGGGTCCAACGTGTGTCTGCCTGTCCGCTCTCCAACAAGTTCCCTCTTCTCTGGATTAAACCCCCACAAACTGGATTCAATGATTAAAAAAGAGCCCCCCAAAAGTGAGTCTCTCTCCAGCATATTCAAGCCTCAGTCATTTTTCCTACAGTCCCTGAACTGATCACTTACCGGTTCCGGTTCACCAGTCCGCTGAGTTCCAGCTTCCTCTTCAGTGTTTTCCTACATTCAATAAACCTGTTAAACTTCACCCCTGGTCTCTGAGTGGTTCTCTGCATGTGGGTCAGATCTCTAAAACCAATTATGACAATATCAAGTGTTTTAGAGGTGTTGATAAGGCATTCTGAGGATATCAAACTGCTATACAGCCAAACATTTAAAGGAAGTTGGGTTAACTTAAAGGTCTTACATCAGGGATAACGATCACTACAGCAGGGATATTTTTAGAGGTTCCAGGAATACTTGGATTTGGAGCTATTATTTGGTATAAAAACTCAGAGAATTGGAAGGAAACTGGCTGCAAAGTGAAAGACTTGGAAGCTGTAAGTAAAAATTTCAAGAACATAGTTGAAATGAAAGCCCTGCCCCAGATGAAGACCGATCTGGACATAAAGAATGAGGAATCACCTGCATCAGGAACAACACTTGGAGCTCAAGCAGAAACACTTCTCTTAGAAATAGAGATGTTTTTGCAGCTTCTTTCACAAATGGAGGAATTATCTGTATGTGATAAAGGCAAACTTATTTTTATAAAGTTAGTTGATCAATATAAGAAAGTTCAAGAGGAGCTTACAAAGATGAAGTTGGTCCTTAAAGACTCAACCTTATTATTGGAAACTTTTTTCTGCTCCACATTGACAATGGGCCAAATAAAAACTAAAGATCTTTGGATTTATAGAAACATAAAAGGACACAACAGATAAAATGACCCATACTGTGTCAGAAATGCATGTGAAGTATGTTTAACTGAAATAGTTAGCAGTGTTGTGTATAGATAGCATAAATAAGCATTTATTATTAATTTATATATGTTGTAATAAAACATTTTACAAAGATTCAAAAAATCTATTGATTTGATTTTGAAACTAATTCTGAAGGATGAGAAGGAGGGGTGGTTTCTTGATTTTGAACTACCGTTGGAAGAGACTAGTTTAATTCCCTGATTGTGTGTTGAAGCACCCACCAATCTTCTTGCTTGGTTTAAAGCCAATACTCTGATATTTTGAAACAAACACCTTGATATACAAAAAAAGATTAGTTTTATTCACTCTGTAGCATCTTACGGTGTTAGAGGAAGGTCATGGTAAATTCTCAGCTCTGTGAGCGTTCTGGTTTAGTTAATGGCCTCTGTGTTCGTAACAGACACACAATAGGCTCATCAAATGCTGGCATAATCCCGGTTTAGTCATAAACCGGGACAGATAGACCCAGTATTCAGGTAAGACAGCCAGTAGGAGAGTAGAAAAACTTTATTAACAGAAAAATCAGACAGAACAAAAGCGCAGAACTGTGGAGCTGCGGACCTGCAGCGACTGCAGGGGCAGAGCACAACCCATCACTGACTGAAATGATAATATGATTGAGTCACTTACCTGGTTTCACTATTCAGTCCATCCTCCCTTAAGAGGTGCGATCCAGCCGATGGGCTGCCAACCAGCCCAGTGGTGTTCTCTGGGGCTGATGCTGCAGCCTGGGATGAATTACAGGAAGCCGATCCAGGTCAGGGGAAAACAGAGCAGGCAGGAACAGTTCAGGAATACAGGAAACCTCTAGCCTAGTAAACTAGCTCCTAGCGGCCAAACGCATTTTTGCCTGCAAGTGGTCCAGCCTTGATCAATGCCCCAGGCCCTATAACTGGCGGGCCAATCACAACGCGGAGATGTGTTTTTAATTTCTGGATGCAAAGCAGGCAGGGTTTTCAGGGCGTGACGACAAAGCTGCACAACGCTGGAGAAAGCACTACAGCAGCATGCACTGCGGCAGCAGCAGCTTTCAATGGAGCGCTCCAGTAAAAGTTAAAAGTTCTCTTTTATGTTGCTGTTGTTCAATAAAAGTACGTTTTAAGATCATTTGAGGCGAGAATATTATACTTTAAAACATCACTATATGGTCCATTTACAGATTAAATGCGTAATTAGAAAAACAATTTCCGAAGTTGAGAGGATCGTAGCAACCAGCGGCTCTCCGAGGCTAACGACAGCCAGAGCTAACTGCAGTCGTCTGCAGCGGCCCTCTCTCGACATAGTCGTGTGAGAAGGATAGCTGGTTCTGGTGAGTATTTTTGACTCAGCTGTGGAATCAGTTTTGGAAGGATTAGACTTGGGTTTTTTGTTGAAATGTGAGCAGGAAGAGGATCTACACTCATTAATATTTAAGAAGGACATATTCCCCGTTTTACCAACAGGCTGTTTGTTTACGCTCCCCCACCAGCTTTCTGTTGCGCTTCGCACGTTACAGCCAGTTGCGCTCATTGGTCAGAGTGTTGGCCAATAGGCAAAGACATGGTTTGAAAAACATTGGTTTGTTCTCATCAACAATCTTCCAACGTCTCATTCATCGGGGCCAGACTAAATTACACATTTAATCTCACATTTAGTCTGGTTTACAAGGCTAAGAAACCTCAGCTCTATCAGAGGCTCCCACTCAAACCAGATCAGAGGGATCCAGGCTTCCAGGAATCCTTGAAGGCGTGAAGGCAGGTTTGGATTCAGACGGCGTGCCCAGATGGACACGCAGACAGACTGAATCCAGTAGAGTCAAAGTTTGGTTCAGGCAAACACATCAGATGGGACAGACAGGCCGGTGGGTGAAAGGGAACGGAATCAGGAAATAAGAATCACTAGGGAAATGCTGAAACAATCTCACCACTGGTTAAGGAATTAACTCGTCTGAAGATACATGAACCTTGGAAATAACTAAAACTAACGAAACAGAAATCAAACAAGCAATGATCTGGCCCTGATAGCTGGAACTGAACCCTATATAGGGAACAGATGCCGGGGATGAGATCAGGGATAATTAGAGACCGGCAGATGAGTGAAATGAACAATCAAGGCCAGCTATTAGGGCAGATCACGGTCCCCCATACACAACCCGGGTACTCCACCCCCCTAGGCCAAGTATAGCACACCAGCCACAAGAATCCAGGCTGAAGACACTTCCCAGCATCCCCCCACCCAACTGCAGACATAGGCTGTGCGCAGGGTCAGGGCAGGTAGTAAGGCAGACCCACGCCACAGGCTGAGAAGCATTCGGGCACGGGGATTGTATCCCACCTGCCGTACAGCCACACCCATCCCACACCTAAGAAAGGTAGAATAATCGAAAAAGTACCTGAAAATAGAGGCCAGGGACATAAACAAGAGGTCACAGATTAGTGGACCCGGGTCTGGATCTGTCATTGAATTAGAAGAAAAGTAAATTTTTATTATTTAGTAATTATAAAAGGAC